AAAAAAAAAAAAAAAAGTACATTTGTTTTATCCTTGCATTATTTTCTTTTAAAAGATTATATTAGTGCATACTTCATGCTGGTAAGAGTATTTTTAAAACAGAAAGCTTTAGTGTTAATTAGAGACAATCAGGATTTTTTACTTTCTATTTTTCAAATTCTCTCAAATTTACTAAAAGATTTAGTGTGGTTTTTGATGATGTTCTATATGGAAAAAGAAACAACTCAGTAACTCAAGTACCTCTAGAAACAAATATTTCATACTAACCAACATAATTGAATCATAACTGATATTTTAGAAAACACTAATATAATTTTTGGTTTTTATATCTATAAAGTTAATAGTGGTAATAATAATACTGAAATACAGTAGTTTGTGAACAGCTTTTAATAGATTCAGACAGGAAAGGCTATCCATTAAAATTAGTTTTAATTGTTGTAGTTTAAAAAAAAGTTGCTGCTGTCTTCTAGGTATAGAGCACCAAGACTCACAGCATTCTTTCTTGGCATTTTTGAATACGCCTACCGATGCTCTGGATCAATTTGAAGTAAGTATTAAACTTTTCAATATCCTTTGTAGCAAATTTAAAATTCACTTTGTTATTTAAAATTCTCTTAAAAGTTTTATTGTATCTTCCACAGAGAACCTAGAATCTTACGTAAACAAAAACATTTTAGGAAAGGAATATGTTCTGCATTCTTATGGAGACTATGTGACATTTGTATTTAGCAAAATATGTAACAAAAGAACACGAGAGTCATAAGATTTTAAAGTAATTCCGTCTCACCTATGAAGAAGTAAGAGCAGAACAATCCCAATAATTTTGATGCTTTTATTTTTCTCCAAAGTATAGAGAGACAAAAAAAAAAAAAACCCCACCAAGAGAAAGTGTCAGAGCTCACAAATAGGGTATTGTTGCTGGTTTTTATTCCAAATCAATTTATATTAGAAAGTATACAATAAGGAATTCTTTTTATTACTAGTAAAAGTATTACATAGACTGTTACACAGATTTTATAATAATGAACTAGTGATTGTATAACTCTTGATCATTCCTCAGCATTTAAATTCTTTGCTGAAAAAAAACAATTTTGTGTCATAAAGTATACTTTGTTGCAGAAATTTGAGTTGGTGATTATAACATTATTCAACAAATAATCATGTATCTGTGCAAGATACTATTCTGTGTTGGAAATATAGTAGCAATGAAAATAGAAAAAGTCTCTCCTTCGAAGAACTTTATAGTAGAAAGAATTAGAAGCAGAGATTCTGTTGCTTAGTTTTCATTGTTACTTGGTAAAGTGGCTTGTATTAGATAATGATTTGTCATGAGCCTCATTTTACTACATTTTGGGCATAGTGTACAAATTATATTACATTCCTTTAGGAAAATAAGAAAGAATCACTCTTTTAAAAGTAATCAATGGATCTCTTAAGTTTTTTGAGAACAATGACAGTGACTGCTTTTCTCATTTATTTATTTGAATTGATGTCATTTACCTTTCAATTGTTTTATAAAATTTTTGATTTATTATTTGTTCTTATTAAACTGCTTCATCCATATTTTCTATTTTTTTATTGCTGTATTCGTTAAATAGGATTCCTTTTCTTCTTCCTCATCTTCACTGATTGATTTTTTGGATGACGTAAGTCTTTGATTTTCAAACGAATGCATCCTTCAGTAAAAGAGATCAGTGAATTGATTTGAAGAATTTGCCTAGTAATGCAGTCAGTTTTAGAAACAATCACACTTGAAAATTACCTGTGGGTCAAAATAAGCTTTGTTCTTATCTTAAATATAATGAAGGGTTTATCATTATTAAACATAATAAAGTAAAATTATATTTGAAAAATGCTTTGGCCATTAGAGAATCTCTGTATTTCCATTCTTTGGAATGTTTATTATCACTACATGTATGTATGTACAAATAATTGCTCATTTTTATTTTCCATAGTGATTTCTATTTTACTTTCCCCTTTTCTTTTTAGCACTTTGTTTAATTTCTATGTTGGTTAAAAACAGACCTCTGATGATTTAATCAGAAAAAGTGACTTTTTAATTCTTCAGTAGCTTTTATTGTAACACAATAATAGAGTACAAATCAATTTTTAATGCTGACAGAATTTCTATTCTAATGTGGAAAGTGATTTTAGTTAACATATGTGGTATATGCACTATAAATTGACTGCATTATTTTCTCTCCTGAATTCTATAGATTTAATAATTTAGAAGTTCCTATTAAATGTGTATCATTCATTCTCTTCATGTCACTGCCTGGCATATACATCCCCTGTATTCTACGTTAAATGCCACAGTAATTCCCATCACAAAGCATTTGGTTATTCTGTTGAACATTTAGTCTTTGTAGAAATGGGGAATAAAGTGGGTTCAAATGCAAAAGTTGTGGGTAGTACTGTTTTTAAAACCAGGGGAAATTCTTTAAATGTTTTATTCTTTATGTTTTGTTAGTATATTTATGATGTGATGTTTGGAAGAGTAGCTAGCATAATTTTCCACTAAAGGAAACCTTTGACTTGAATGTTGTAAAATTATTGAACAAAAAAGTGATTTTTGATACGTTTGAATTATTTATGTTAAAACATGCACATTTTCATTCTAAGTTAAAACTTTTTATTAAGACGAAGTTATTCTGGTTAATTCTTTAGTATGATAAAAAGTGAACTCTGCTGATACACAATGGTATTGTATGTTATAATCTATTGTTCAGCATATTAAAATAATCAATGTGGTATTTCTATACAGATATCATTGACCTTAAAAAGACTAAAAAGAAAGTTTGAGTAAATTATTTTAGTTCTTTCCACTAGGAAATGGTCTTACTTTTTCTTACAGATTCTTTTCTCCATCCCCTGCCTGCCCCCCCACAAAAATACTTAATTACCAAATGTAGAATTTTGGCAAATGAATAAACTCTTCTCAAGCAGAAGACCTTGCAGGAATACACACCCTAGCCAGGTCTCTGGCTCATTTTTGTACTACTCTGCTTTTCTTTTCTTTGTGATTGTTGAATCACATAACCATTGGAAAGTGACATTTATCAGTTGGGTGAAGGCCAGCAGTAAGCTCACTTTTAAAAATATTTTATATTTTTGGCTCGGCACCTGTAGCTCAGTGGCTAGGGCGCCAGCTACATACACTGGAGGGTTCATATCCAGCCTGGATATGCCAACAAAGACAACTACAACCAAAAAATAGCCAGGCGTTGTCCTGCGTGCCTGTAGTCCCACCTACTTGGGAGGCTGAGGCAAGAGAATTGCTTAAGCCCAAGAGTTTGAGGTTGCTGTGAGCTATGATGCCACAGCATTCTGAGGGCAATGAAGTAAGACTCTGTCTCAAAAAAAAAAAAAAATTATATTCTTTCATTATATTTTATGGCACAAACCTAAGTTTCTCTGTATAATTTCTAACTATGATCACCCTTCCCAGAGTTACCATTCATTCATCTTATCCTCAAAGTTGTAGTGGAATGATATTTTGAACAGCAGCAATCTTTACCATCTCGAATTCACATCTAAAATATTTAAAATGTACAAAACTCAAATTTTTCTGGAACTCTCTTTCTGTTAGGCATTTGGATTCTTACAGGACAAGTCAAATCTTGATTGTTCTTTGTCTGAGATCTAGTTATTTTGTACACAATACTTACGTGACAGCACTCTGTATTAAGTAATTTCTAATGCATAGAACACATCCTTCTGGTCATTCTTTTTTGTTTTTCTATCTCACTGCTATAGAAAAGATTTTGTTGAAGACCTAAAATTTGAATTGCAGCTAAAACTTAGAGGAATAGGAGGGAATAAGACTGGTATTAAGCAAAATTGCAGAAATCGCCTTTCCTTTGGTGTTTACATCCTCGATCTTCTCTTTCTGCCCTCAGGAGCCCATTTCTCATGCCCTCTGATTTATCAGAGCTTTATCATAGCGCCTGTCCTCTTTCAGAATTACTTCTGCTTCCCTCCTTCCACCTTTACCTGTCCACATAGGCCTATGGAAACCATGATTCCTTTACTTAAAACAGTATACGTAATCACTCTACTATCCTTAATTTTCTTCAGCATGTTTTACCTATTCAAAATTCACATAAATGCTGGAATATGAAGTCACACTGTGTAATTAGTCCTTCTATGTGTATGAGTAGCTTTGACAGAAGAGAAGGAGAATACATGATACTGGTCACTTCGTTTCCTCTTGGAAAATGAGAACAACCAGATCAGAATATTTTTTTAGCACTCTCTGCTTCTATAAGGATGTAGGCATCTGGGCTTTGTACACGTGAAATTGGAGACTTTTAAAGGACAAAAGAACCTTGGAACATTTTATAGTCCAGTGATTTTAAACCATTATTTATTATAACACTCTCCCATTAGAATGAATAGATTGCTCTCTGATTATTAAGAGTGACTTTTGAGGGTTCTTAATTCTTTGGGCAAATAGGGAAGTATGATGTTAAAAGATTATGCATAACTTTCTTTATTTGTCTTTGGACAAATAAAGGAGAGTTTGAGTTAATGTTAGAAAAATTTGAGACCACTTTGATAAGTGGTCCCTTAGGTAGGACATTCCCATATATGATAGACAGTCACCGAGTTACCAACATCCAACTTACATGTAACTGTCACAAATGGAGGCTGTTACAGTAAGTCCCGGAGTTACAAATATCTAACTGATATGTGACTTACACTTACAAATGGAGGCTAGTACAGGCAGTGGTTAAATGTACACATATTAGGACCAGCCTCACCCCACCCCACCCCCCAGGTAACAAACTAGGTGAGGGGCAAAAGGAGCTCAGCAGCTTGGATTTCCCCATTTCTCTCCCTGATCTGTGCCCTTGATCCCAGTGATAGCAGATCGAGGCACCATCACCCCAAGCTTACAGCAACTTCCTACTCTGTACAGTTCCTTTTTTCCTTTTCATTTGAGCCAAGAAACTCTTGGCTTGACTAGTGTATCAAAGGTAATACTAGTTATAGTCATATAATTCTCTCATATAAGTCAGCGAGCTACTTGTTCTTTGTAAGCATATTGTCATATACTATTAGTAAATATGTGCTAGGTGGCTTCTGAATTTATTAAATTACAATTCTACATTTCATTCATTTAGTCCCAGTTCCCAGAAATTGCCCACTTGCCTAGCAAATGGGAGTGTACTCAACTTGCTTTTTGTAAGTTGTATTACTCTGTTATGCTAAGGAAAGAGTAAATCAAGGAATTAAAGCTCTAGAATATAAAGGTAAAACATAACAGAAATAGAGATAATATTGGTAGCCCAGCTAGGGGGTTTTCCTAATACTGTTTTCCTTTCTTATATTCTTGTATATAAGAGAAGAAAGTGTTGGAGAGCATTGGCAGACTAAGTTCTATACTTGGCTTTAACCTCATATGAAATTATGCTAAGATGTTCCAAAACATTTAATTCCATGGTTCCTTGCTTCTTTCATTTATCTTTTGATTTTAATATAGTTTTTCCTCCCCAGCTTCTTTTATATTCTACCATAAGCAATTGCAGAAATCTGAGCTATGGA